CCTCAGGTCACGATCAGTCAGACGTTCGACCTCAGCAACGTATCTACCCCCCTATGCAGTGCCCTCTAGCACACACCAGGAGAAGCCATTTTGAATTTCCTGGCGAACAGGATGTCCACAAGCTCTTCCAGACCGTGGTCGCGTAGGAAGGCCGTGAGCTCAGAGTGATCCTTTTCCACCTCTAGCTTCTGTGCTTTACGCTCTTCCTTCTCGTGACGTTGCTCCTCCTTCAACTGTTGATTTGCCTAAGGTGCGGTATGTCCACTAAATAAAATAAAAAGGATGACCATGCGTTCTACCTTTATTTGCTCGATCGCCTCCTTGGCAAGCCCCTGAGGCGTCAACCCCGCCTTGTTGCAGATCGACCCGTCCGCTCCTACTGCCAGAAGTAGTCGCTCTACCGCAGTCATATTCTAGCACGAATCTAGATACCCTGTAGACGTACCATACGTTGCTTACATTCTTCACAGCTATATGAAGCGCTGTGTTACCGTCCTCATCTGCAACGTCGATGTCAATCTTGCCCGTATCAATCAAAGACTGCACTACGTTCCCCATGCGCCTGCACACGCTCATCGTCATCACCAACACCCTTCATGATGCCTACCCTTTCACTGCCAACACCAGTGGGGTCTCGCCGAGATCGTTCTTGCTGTTGAGATCAAGTACCTCTACCAAGCCCAGGTCGGGGTCGAGCACGGCAAAGGCAGCCTCCTGTTGACCCTCCAAGAGAGCCACATGAAGAGGTGTGTCTACAGATCATATTAATAACCCCCTCAGCTAACCGAGGTACGGCAGATGGTACTTCCTTCATCGTCAGTGGCAGTGAATATAGAGGGACTCGACTTGCCCAGTAAAGTCACTGCCGACGGCTCGTTCAGCCTACCTACACGAACAGATCCGACTCCGACCACGTGTAGTGAATTTCCAATACCACACCCCTTTCGAAACCCTCTCCTCTCCTCCTACCTACACGCCCAATGCGCCACATTATCCCCAGCCTCGTCAGTGACCTTCAGATCGGCCCCTTTCTTGATAAGAGGCAGGAGGGCTCCTCCACCATGACGAACCGCATGGACCTGTTGTGGCCTGCACCCTTTCGAGACCACCCCACCCTTACAATAGGAGGTAACACCATCACCGCATCACGAGCGTTAACGTCAACCTTCTTACTATCCAATAGGACCGAAATGATCTAAACATGATTCGCTAGAATTGGCGATGATGAAGTCCTCTTCAACACTAAGAGTACACGACTATTCAGCGGTCTAAGCGACCCCACTATTCTCGCCATCGAGGAGTCCATATGCACCGATAAGAAGCTTGTCGCTTAGGCTCGGGCGTCAGTGAGGAACAATTCACTATTGTTGTTAACAGAATCACTTTTAGCAATGAAGACTCCAACATCCGGGACCAGGACAGACAGTAGGCCCTCCTGTCTATCTAAGACACCCCGACTGAGACCCCTACTGAGTAGGGGCCTCAACAAACTCACTGGACACAGCAATGGCCTATACCGAACCCATCCCACTACTATCTTACGATGATCAAATGGAGCGGTATCGAGGACGGGGACACCTCATCATTACCTCATCATCCTCAGACTCTATTGCAGCTATAAGAGGAGTGACGCCTCTCTTGCCCACAGCATTAGCGTCCTTCACCCAGCTCAACTGACGAGTTACCTCCCCAGCTGACGAGCCACTCTTTAGAATCGTCTTAACCAATGAGTCCACTGTTGCGGACATACAAACAGGGTTGACAAAAAAACTGCATGACGATCACATTGGGAGTAGACGAGTGTTCCCCCGTAAAACCCGAGACCAACCACCGCATGCTGCGAGCTCATATTAGAACCTTGCTATCCTCAATCTAATATAAGTGCAGCAATACGTGAGTGAGAATAAACTTTCATGAGACTTTCTTCTTTCCACCTTCTACAGGGCTGGCCGCCTGAGGCTAAGTATAGAGAGTTGGCCTACATGAAGTTACCTTATTCGGCAGATGCCCACTATGCTCAGTTCCCTTCGATCGAGACCATATGTAGCGCTCACAGAAGGCCACCCACGCCGGTATAATGCATCGAGAGAAGAGATAGGTCAAGAGCCAACAAAACACGTACCTATACAGAGAGCGTAGCTGAAAAGGCCTAGGCTGTCAACCTTACTGAACAGGCCTGTAGAACCTACCAAAGTGCCGTAAAGGGCCTGAAAGGGACAACACTCTATTCAGAAGGGCAGCAGCCCGAGTATGGTTATGGTCACCTCCTGGGGGATGAGTCTGATAGTTGATCTGAACCAACAAGACAAAATGGAGAGGCTGCAATAGACAGGAATGAAATGCACCCGCGAGAGATAACAGAACCAAAGTCTCGGCTTAAACACTGGGTATCTGCTTCACAATAACGGTGACCGCTGCGCCCATGTTATACTCACGTTCGCATAGCAATGAGAATAAAAGGGGCTAGCACCAGTACCCAATGCTCCAGATAGAAGTGGAAGGTCTCTGGCACAGACAACACCATAAACGCTACCCAAAGAGACTAACACTACGCATACAAGGCTCTACCACAATCAGAACCCACGACTATCCACTGCGAATTGCCCAACAGGTGGTATATTATCACCGAGAGGGTAGCCTCGTTTGTTGTACTCCTCCATCTCAGCAAAGACCAAAGCCAGAGCCACACCCCACATCAAGTGAAGGTACACGTTGAAAAAGTAGATGGACACCTTCCACCTCCGGGACCAGTAGATGACCCCAAGCCCAATGCAGAACACCTAAACCCATCGTGAATTCACTATCACAGGAACCTCTTACATGGCAGGGCTGCAAGAGGAACCAATTAGCCAGCACATCAGCTGAGGTCGAGCCTTCCCGACGAGCAAGGGCTGCCGTCGCCGTCTTGTACGCGATCACCCCAAAAGCCAACAGACTTGTCACTACAGCGTTGAGCAATTCTATCCTATCTGAGCGACGAGGGCAATGCTCTTCCCAATGGCCCCAGCGATACTCAAGAGACTTCCACAGGCCCTACACTGAGGAGGGCCCCACTTATCCCAATCCCAGGAGAGGAGCACACCTCGACAATGCTAGCTCAATACTTCCAGACAATTCAACATACCACATTTCCGACACTCACAGCTCGACAATGGTAGCTCAATACTTCCAGATAATTCAACATACCACATTTCCGACACTTCCCAGCTCGACCCCCCTACTCATCTTAGCAGTATTGTCCCTCGCTGGCACTCTCAACACCCACTTTCCCCTACACCCAACACACTGATGAGTTATAGATGCCCATGATTACCTCATGAGCCCACCCACAATAGACGTCACGAATACTATTGAGTAAGTGAAGTATCCCAGCAGTTGCGTTGATGGCGTGAGGAACCACGAAGCGAAGCGTTCATCTCCACTCGAGTGCGCTCCACCATCCACACTAGCCACTTCCTAACAACGGCTACCTTAGCAACCATACCGGCACATCTACACCTACCAGGGACAGCTCTGGTTGGCAGTAAAACAACCATCGTGCTGCCGTCCTCAGAGGAGCGAAACTAATACTTGTTATTCCGAGTTCCTCCTCGCGCCGAAGGTAGTCCTCTGGGGCCAACGGTGCAGGTACACCTACAACAAAAGCGCGCGCCCGTCAGCGGAACCAGCATCCATTGTGAAGACCCTCACCCGCCTGCCCTCTGGTCCTATCAGCTCTCCATGCCTCCAGCACCATTGCAGTGATCAGCCATAACGTCATCAGCACCACTGGTAGGACGATACAGTAGGTCCATATAAAGGAATAGGGCCTCCACCGTTCATCGCCCTTCTCGGTGTTTTGATGTTGCATTGAAAACTGATACTAACACCAAGCGACCATAAATAGCAGGAACATCATTTTCATACTAAACTCGACACACATAGCAGCAGTAGGAACAATAAACGTTATGGTACTCAAAGGCCATCCCGACGAACTCTCTCCCCTATAACCCTTTCTATCTCCTTAGACACCTGAGTGGTCGCGGCGAACCCATAGCTTAGTATTTTCGACATATTCGGTTTAGTCTTATCCCTCCCTCCTCCCACCTCAGGTGACGAGGACAGTGACCGTAGAAGGAGCACCTACCAAAACAGCTGTCCCTGAGAATGGGGAGCTCATACGTCACTACTTCTTTCGAGACATAAGTCAAGCCAAGTGTGGTGAGATGCTGCCTCTCACTCTTGTCTCCATCGGGGAGGTCCTCGCCTAGTGTTGGGTCTGCCAACACGCAATTGCCTCTAGAGGCGATATTGACCACACTTAGAATGTCCGATACGTGCACCTGAAGCTGCTTTCAAACGACCCACAGAAATCACAGTCTTCAACCACGAAGAGACCACCCGCATAAGCCCGATAATAGAGCCTTGCAGAGGACAGCCCTCATGATGAAAGGAAGCCGTATCTCAGTGAGAGTGATACTTCCTAGAGAGTCCTATATAGCGCCCTCGAGAAAGGGCTACTACAACGGTTGAGACCCCGCGAATACCCCAACTTACACACAATGCCGTAGCAGTCATAGCAGCAGCCATAGCACACGGCAGTACTCGTTCGGCTGAGAAGCCACCAGGAGGGCAGGAGACAACCGACACATTCAGTGGGAGGACCTAAGGGCACTGGATAACCATACACTAGACTACACCCTTATACTACACTTTTAGGGTAATGCTCGGCCACCACTACTGCAGAGAGACCACTCGTGATAGTGTTGGAGAGGTCCTCGCAACTAGAA